TGGTTATGGTTATTATTGCTAATAGAAAGAGCAGATTTCCTTAGGCGTATATATTTATATGTTTATTACATACATCCATTCTCCATGGAGCTAGAAATAACCTGAAAGGAGATGGGCCTACATGCGAACTGCCCGCTGGCAGCTGGCTGTCCTCTCTGCCTGTCTGACTTTCTCATTTTCCCACAGGGAACCTGCGTTACTGGCTGTAGTGGATTGAATTATGTCCCCCCAAAACTCCCTGAAGCTCAAATTGTGTCCCCCAAGTTTTATGTATTAGAAACTTGGCCCCCACTGTGACTGTTAAGAGGGTGAAATCCGGGCCGGCCCGTGGCTCACTCGGGAGAGTGTGGTGCTGATAACGCCAAGGCCACGGGTTCGGATCCCACATAGGGATGGCCGGTTCGCTCACTGGGTGAGCGTGGTGCTGACAACACCAAGTCAAGGGTTAAGATCCCCTTACCGGTCATCTTTAAAAAAAAAAAAAAAAGAGGGTGAAATCCTATTTTGGTAATTGAAAGGTAGAGCCTTGAAGAGGTGATTGGATCACAGGACCGTGCGGTAGTGAATGGATTAATAATGGTGGTCAGGGGCGTGGTTCTGAGGGCTTTAAAAGAAGAGGAGAGTCTGTCTTTCTCTCTCTCTCTCTTGCTCTCTCTGCTTCCACCGTCTTGCAGTGTGGGACCTCTGGGTCACTGTTGCCACCACCAGATGGACTTTGGACTTCTCAGCCTCAGAAACTGTACGCAATAAATTTCATGTTCTCATAAATTATCCAGTTCCAGGTATTTCTGTTATAGCAACACAAAACAGACTAATACACTGGTGAAGGCCATTGCCCCCAGTGAGGGGGACTTCCCTGCACTGGGAGAGAAAGGGGTCCAGCAGCTCCGCATTGTGTAGGGGTGCAGGCTGAAGAGGGGGTCCCAGGCCAGCCCCCAGCATCCAAGGTTGGGTCCAGTCAAGACCTGAGGGTTCTTTGAAACCAGGGGACTTCTGGCATGACTCCACTTGGCAGCCAGAAGGGAAAATTCTTTACTGGGCAGCCCTTCCTCTCAACCCAGGCCTGGAGGGACTTTAGGAAGCTGGTGGAGCTTCCTACTCTGGCACTGTCCTTAGCCGGCTCCTGAGGCCTCATGTCTGGCCCCAGCCGCCTCCCCTCCCGGCCCTGAGCTTTCTGGTTGGGGGAGAGTGGCTGGCTGACTGCTGCTGTTTAAAAAAAAAAAAAAAAAAAAAAGAGGTGAATTCAATTAGGCTGGAACAAGCCCCACCCCTCCCAGATCTGGTCAGTTTCCCCTGGCACACTCTCTGACCACACACATGCCTGTAACATTCCAGCAGGGACTAGGGAGGGGAGGCTCAATCTGGTCAGGCACAAGGGACACCCTTGAGGTCACAGTGAATCTGTCCCTGACCTCCACCAGCCAAAGGTAAGCCCATCTGAAATACCTCTACCTGAGGTGTCAGGGACAAGTGCTCACCATGGCCTGGGGACCTCTGGGCCCTCACGGAACCCTGTCCCTGATGCCACCCCTTCCTGGAATTATCTCATCTCTCACTCCCACTGAGCAGATGTGCCCAGACTCCCTGTTCCTGGAGGCTGCATGTAAGCAAGGGGAAGCCCCTGAGCCAGCACAGTTTGGGCTGGTGCCAGATTGGTGGGTCCTGACATTGAGGAGCCTGTCCTTGCACCCACTGCTGGGTCACTGAGGCACCGGGCCAAGCCACGGAGGGCAACCCAGATTCTAGTCCTGGCCCACTGCTGACCTAGGCAGGCGCCACTGCCCCTGGGGCTCAGCCTTGCCCACAAATGGGGATGATATGCCTGTCCAGACAAGGCCTGGAGCCTCCAGGCACCTGCCAGGGGACACTTTGTTGCCCACCAGCTGGCCCGGCATCAGGCTGGAGGCTCCTGGTATGACCAGCTAGAACCCCGGAGGGCAGAGGCCACCCCCTAACTCTGCTGGGTCACTGCCCACCCCTGAGTGGGGACAGTGGGAAGCCCTGGAGGAGGCCTGGTAAGGGACTGAAGCAATGGCCCTGGATGAAGAGCAGATACTGGAGAGGGTGACTACATCTGAGTCCTCTCCACACAACCCTGCTGCCACCCAAGAGGCAGAAAAGACCCTCCTGACAGTGGGCAAGCAGTGGATCTGGCCCCACAGCAATCAGGGGCAGAAACAGGGTCATATAGGGGTAGCACAGCCTCATCCAGTGCAGCCCCTTCAGGTAAAGGGGCTCCCCTTGGGTCAGGGGCACTGGGGGCCTATTACGCTCAGCTCCCTGGGCCTAGACCAGCAGAGATGAGCGGTCCTGGCTCTGGGTGGTTTCCACCCCACCCCTTGGTCAAGTGCCCAGGACAGAGGATGACACTCTGCAGGAACCGCTCTGGGGGCAGGGGTCTGGGGTGAACTCACCATCCTGTCCACTTCCTGGAGGGGAGCTGGGAATTGGCTAGCTAGGAGGCAGTCGGGGAGGAGGAAGAACTCTATAGGGATGGCCTCGGTGGGTGCACGAGTCACTTAGCAGAGCAGGGAGGCCCTGGGGACCTCAGGAGAAGCATGCCCTGCCCTGGATGGGAACTTGACAGTCTGCAAAGCTCACCCATCCCTGCCTCAGGAGCCTTCCCAGTGGCCTGTGGGAGCTATGTTCTCATGTCACCACATTCAGAGGAGGGGGCCGAGGGCGCACAACCAGCTGCACAGGTCACTGGGCAGCCAGGGCACTCAAGGACCCTTCTCTCTGCTGCACACCCAGGCTCTGCTCTCACCTTGGGCAGCCCCTTCAGCAACTGCCTGAGTGTGGCTCCCCCAAGGCGCCACAGGCAGGGGGACAAAGGGCTCCTCGGGGCTCAGACTCGCCACTTGTACGCACTCTCCAGTGCAGTCGCGGTGGCTGTTCGCTGCACAGGCCAAGGTTGAGTGGGGCTGAAACCCACCCGCGCCCTGCCAACCTGGCCTGGGCCTGCAGAAGTGTGTCCACCCTACTTTGCAGAGGGCTCTGCTGCCTGAATTTGGAGCTGGGTCCCAGTAGCATGAAAGATGTGGACGCCCCCCCCTGGCCTGCAGGGGCCCTCCCACCCTTTGACCTGGGCAACCTGCTACAACCCACTCCCAAGGTGGGACATGGCGGAGGTGGGCACAGGTCAAGTGAGGCTCCCTGAGCCGGCCCATCCTCAGCTGGCCAGACTGGCACAGGGTTCAGAGCACCCTCACACCCAGAGCTGGCCGTTCTTTTTATTGGCCCCAGTTTTAGGCAAGATGCCGAGGCTCAGAGAAGTGTGACTTGCCCATGGAGGACCCGCCCCCCACGCCTGCACTCCCCACTGCTGCAGGGTGGGGCGGGCTGGTGTGTGTGCCTGGCTGGACAACAAGCACCCACCCTGGCTGCCAGGATGTTCAGGGAACACAAGTCGTGGCTTTTTGGATATCTCCACCCCTCGACAGGTCGCGTCACATTACAGAATCTCTGCATTCCTCAAATTTGGAATTTGAGGGTTGCAGGGTCACCCTCTGCTCATCAAGGGTCTCCCCGATCTTTACCATTGCCGCCCTCCAGCAATCAGGGCTTTCGGGGTGCCAGGCACCTACCCAGTGCTTTGCAGCCTCTTTTACTCCTCCCCCCACCCTCGGGGAAGCCCTCAGATCTTTGTGGGGCTGTACAAGTCGCCTGCGTCCTCGCAGCCAGAAGCGGGGACCGGACCCAGTTCCTTGTCCCCACACTCCTACACTGCCTCCTTTATGGCACGTCATTGCCCTGCCTGGAATCCGAACACTGTTGCTGCAGCAGCGGTGGCTCTGGGTGCGGCCCGCTGCTGGGGTGGGATCCTTCCGTGCCCACCCCAGGGCCGAGGGCTCTGGGCCCAGGCTCCTGGCTCTGCCTGGGAGGACAAGTCCAGGGATGCACCACCCTCCTCTCTGGCGATGAAGGACCTGGTTCTCCGTCTCCCGGCCGCACACTGCCCTTCCACTAAGGGATGCCAAGGCCGCAGGTGAGGCTGTCAGTCAACCTTCATGCCTGATCACCCTTCAATTCGTGCATTCTAGCAGCCCTGTAAGCTGGCAGGGTGGGTTGAATTGTCCCCAGCTTGCAGATGAGGAAACTGAGACCCAGGGACAAACAGATTTGCCCGGAGTCTCACAGCTTGACTTAGCAAAGCCAGGGCCCCTTGTCTTCCATTAGGCCCCCAAAACTCTACCCTGTTGCCCACCCCAGCCACTCCTCTCTGCACAAAAAGATCCAAGGGGCAGATGGATTATGTGGGTCATACCATCAATGCAGAGATCCTGGACCTAAGTCACCCATGCTCTACTGGGCTCCTGCAGGGACAGGAAGCTCGCTACCTCACAGGGCAGCCTGCCCTGGTCAGAAGAGTTTTAAAAGCAATGTTTACACTGGCGGCACCTCTACCTCCTGGAAATTCAGCCCCCGCAGTGACACGGAGTCCCCTCCACTTCTTGTAGCCCCGGATCAGGGAGCAAGCTCAGGGCTTGCAGGAGATCTACTTACTGGCTTCAGAGCAGAGCTGGGCACCCATCAACCTGGGGTTCTTGGGCACGGGTGTCCGGGTCTGGAA